AATGCATACCAAGGCTGGCAGGCTTACCCTTGATTCAGGGCCTCCTGATACGTCACGGAGGCCGAGTTGTCGTCCAGGTTGTTGTACATGCAGCCAAGTGCCATGGCAGCATACAACAGACCGAGATACCTTTGCTCTTCTTGTGTGTAGCTTTCGTGTGGTTTGTCGTAAATGTTGTCAAACATGTCCCAGAACGTCGGCGCGTGCACAATCCGAATGAGACAGGTTCCGCAGCTTAATGAGTAGTAGCAAAGCTTGCGGGCGAACTCTTTTGGAGGCAGTTCAGACCCGTGGGCGAGCGTCAAATCTTGTGGCGAGCTGCCGGCTGACGCTGGGGAGTCCAGTTTCGTCAGGCCATACGGCCGTTCCTTCCGTGGGAGGAACGGCGCTTTTGTGGCAGGGCCCATGAGACCCTGGAAGTTCTCATTCATTCGTCGCAAAAAGACAGCACCAGAGGACACGCCGTGGAAGTCCCAGCCGCCGCGATCGTCCATGTCCAACTGACCTATGGACTCAATCATGGACAAGAGCTGGGCGTCTTCTCGATCACCAGGGCCCATGTGGTCCTGTCTCATCTTTGCTTGACTGCGTGCGAGTTCTCGGCTTCGGAACTCTTGCTGTACGGTGGGGTCGAGGTTCGGGTCGCTGAGGTCGACATCGGGCATGAACTTGTGCAGGAGAGCTTCGGCTCGCTGCAGACGGCTTTCCAATGCTTCAATGTACTGCGGTGCTGGGTTCCTACGGCGGTTCGAAGGCTTATCATATGTGCATTCTGAGGGGGGTGTGATTAGTTGGCGGGCGCCGTTGCGCCGCAAATCATGATAAAAAAGGTCGGAGCAAGAGAGAGGCTTACCATAGCTGTAGACCGAACAGTGTGTGCATGGTTGCTTGCCGTCGCACTTGATCTTTTTGCGCCGGCACTCGTCGCACGCTCTTGTGACACGGCGGCGCTTCTGCACGGGGACCGAGGCCGGATCGCCAGATTCATTCTTGACATGGTCCTCAGATTCATCGGATACCGAGTGGGCGCTGCAAGTGGGGGAGTGCGTCTGCTGCCTTACAGAGAAGCCAACCAGCGGGCGGATGCAACAC